TAAATATGTAAATAATTAAATTTTTATCTCCTGCTCTATAGGAGATTTTAACTAACAGCACAATCGAGGAGCTTCTCATGGGCATGACCTCTCAAATAGCAGAAAAAGAGGACAATCTTCTCGGTACCGATATCAGGAATAATTTATTCGGACCTATGGAATTCTCACGCAGAGATTTAGGCGCTCTGAACATCATGAGAGGTAGAGATAATGGCCTTCCTGACTACAACACTGCCAGAGCGCATCTTAAGCTACCTCGTAGGAAAACTTGGAACGAAATCAATCCAGAATCGTTTAACAAAAATCCCTCGCTGTTACGTACATTGGTAGAGATTCATTCGAATAACTTGAACAACGTTGACGTTTACGTTGGTGGAATGCTAGAGTCTAGTGCTGGTCCAGGAGAACTCTTCTCTGCGGTGATCAAAGAACAATTTCTTCGTTTGAGGGATTCTGATAGATTCTGGTTCGAAAACGAGGAGAATGGGTAAACGATAACTACCATAAATGACTCTAGGCTTCGAGAGAGTCTTAGAGAGTAACTATGTACAATTTTGTCCACTTTTTTAGAATCTTTACAAAAAGCGAGATAGAAGAGATTCGTCGCGTCACCTTATGGGACGTGATAGTTAACGCGACAGGAATACCATCTGACTCGATTCAGAAGAAAGTGTTCACCTGGGTGGAGGGGGATCCCTGTCCCCAGCCTTATCAGTTAAACTCAACTATGCTGGAGCCTTGCGTTCCCCTGCAACGTTACGACTACTTCGAGGTGACTAGGCATTACTCAACCAGTAGCCTCTATCTTCCTGCAATACTCGTTTTTTCCCTCGCCGTTACCCTAAATGGAGAGGTCTGAAAGTCGTGTGTACCTGTTTTGTCTTAGGGAAGCGAGTTGGTGTACATATATGCCTGCGTTTTTCTTGGTTTCGTGCCGATTCTTTGCGCTGGCGCCGGTTATGGTCTGGTCAAACTTCAAAATCGACGAAGAAGACGATTGAAGATTCTGCAAGAGGCGATACAGAAGAAAAACGATGGAAAGATCTGCGTGGACAAGATGATCGTGCGCGAATGGCTGCACGCGAATCATCGTCGGCTGGTCAAGGTGAAATTCGGTCCGGAAGCGGCTCTGCACATCGTCGACCGCAAGGGAGAGAAATTGCGCACGTTCGACTTCAACGATGTGAACACGGTCACGATGGAGGAGTCTCAGGTGATTGCGACAAGAGCGGCGGACGTTTTACTTTCGCTTGAAATTTCGACGGAGAATCTGCTCGAGAAATCTCGAACGGAACCGCTTGTGCAATAGAGTAAGGTTTACAAAGGGAAACGTGAAACATGTGGAAACGACTGGTTCACCAAATTCAGCCAAGTGGTCGGACACGTGAAATACGAGCGATTTTCACGCTTTCGTGAATGTTTAAAATGTTGTTTGCTTCATAGGGCGATATTGCCTTATTTGAAATAATTGAAGTGACTTTAATACTCAATTGTTCTACATTGTGTAGAATCAAGTGCCTCAATTGTTTCGAACAGAAAAACATAGCTATCACCCGAAGCAAATGTTATAAAAATTATTAATATTATTGGTAATGAAATTACCATAATTACTTATTAACAAATTGTTCAGGATAAGTCAAAGAAAGAATATCCATTTAACAAAAAAGGATAACAGGAAACAGAATTACTCATGCACCAAGATTAGCATAAGCAACACCTTGAATTGCCATACTCTAGTGTACGATCGATTATTATTTAGGAGAACGAGAATGGTCATCGTAAGGCGTTGGTGCTGCTGCGGATACCGCGGGACTACGACCTTGTCCTTGAACTGGATTCGCTGGCCTCGCGTAGAAAGTTCATTGCGAAACTGGAGGCATTTCTGGCGGCCCATAAGAAGCACTTCACGTTGTCCCAAGTGAGCCGGGACATTATGCTTGCAAAAGCGGAAACGAAGGAACGCCGCCAGAAAAAACTCGAACAGGTTTGTTTCGTTCCTTTTGCATCCTTCGCACCAATCAATTCCTATTTCACCTTTTAAGGCTAGCAAGTTTGGTTCTTTTATTTTGCAAGAAAGTAAAGCAACGTTTTTCTAATCGAACTTTTTATTAACTGGAACTGTAAAATATTAACTAAATTTAACAAAGATTTCTTTGTAATTCCCTCATAAATATTATATTTCAGTAAATTACGTTTGAAAAGAAGAATTAATTCACGTTTTTTTTTTTAATTAGTTTGGCATTTACTGATAGAGTAAATGATTAGTACTAGTCTCACTGTAAGAGTAACAAATTATGGTCTCACTACTGGAAGGTTAAAAAAGTGTAAGAACAAGCGTTGTCACACTGCTTCTTTTCTACGTGCTAAAACCATATTTGTAATGTATCGTTTCCCGTTCCCGTTGCCTATGTAACATTCGTTTTTTTCCTCTCCTGCCAGTTTTTTAGGGAAGCTTACGCTTTGACGTTTGGTCTGAGACCCGGTGAAAGGCGACGACGATCCGAGGACAGCGACAGCGGTGAAGTAGTTACCGTGATGAGGACGTCGCTTTCTAAAAGCGAGTTCGCGAGCGCGCTCGGAATGCGGGCGGACGCGGTCTTCGTGAAGAAAATGTTTAATATCGTCGATAAGGACAGGGACGGACGTATTTCGTTCCAGGTAGAGGATGTTGAATTTTCTGCATGATATGATGCTTCGTCACGCCCCTTAATCATTATTTATTCATTTATTTATTTATTATTTTAAATGAAAAGTTTTTTAAACTTAGCTGCTTTATCCATTGAAAAGTAAAATTGAAGTCGACGATGAAGCGGGAAAAGTTAGTGGAAAGAATTCCAATCCATCTGTTTATATTTCAGGAATTTTTAGACACCGTTCTGTTATTCTCAAGAGGAAAAACCGAGGATAAACTCAGAATTATTTTCGACATGTGTGACAAGGATAGTAACGGTGTGATCGACAAGGAAGAGCTGTCAGAGATGCTCAGATCTTTGGTAGAAATTGCAAGAACAACCAGTTTATCGGACGATCATGTCACCGAATTGATCGACGGAATGTTCCAAGTATAATTACAGAATAACGTCATAAACTCTACATACATCTGTATCGCGAAATGTTGAAAACTGATTTTTTTCAGGACGCTGGTCTTGAGAGGAAGGATTACCTCACGTATAACGATTTCAAGCTAATGATGAAAGAGTACAAAGGCGATTTCGTGGCGATCGGTCTCGATTGCAAAGGCGCCAAGCAAAATTTCCTCGACACGTCAACGAACGTAGCTCGCATGACGAGTTTCCATATCGATCAGCTTCCGCCTGAGGACTCAAAGAGCTGGGTGCGGAAACAGTGGGATGCAGTTTCGACATTTCTCGAAGAAAACCGACAGAACATATTTTATCTGTTCGTTTTTTATGTCACAACAATTGCACTGTTCGTCGAGAGATTTATATGTAAATTTCAACAACCATTTCGTGCGCTTCATTTCGAAAGAATTGTGAAATGTAGATGAGTAAGAATTTTTTGTTTACCTTTAGATTACTCATTCATGGCTGAGCACACGGATTTGAGACACATTATGGGAGTTGGAATTGCTATAACTAGAGGATCAGCGGCAGCTTTGTCTTTTTGTTATAGTCTGCTGCTTTTGACCATGTCTAGGAATCTCTTGACTAAACTCAAAGAGTTTTCTATTCAACAATACATCCCTCTGGATTCACATATACAATTTCACAAAATTGCTGCTTGTACTGCGTTGTTTTTCTCTGTTTTACACACGGTGGGACATATGGTCAACTTTTACCACGTTTCTACTCAGCCACTGGCTCATCTGCGATGTCTCACTAGCGAACTTAGTTTCCCTAGTGATGCACGTTTGACTATATCTTTCTGGCTCTTTAGAACAGTGACAGGTTTAACTGGAATATTGCTATTCATTGTGATGACAATAATCTTCGTCTTCGCTCATCCGACTATTCGCCAAAAGGCGTACAAATTTTTTTGGTCCACGCACAGTTTGTACGTAGTACTGTACGCACTGTGTTTAATTCATGGCTTGGCACGTTTGACTGGTTCTCCGCGATTCTGGATCTTCTTCGTTGGTCCTGCCATCATTTATTCCCTTGATAAGGTACATTGAACCACTATACCTTTCGGATAATTGTGGTTTTCAGGTGTAAACTCACTATAGCATTGTTTCTTTTATTCTTACAAGTCATTTGTACGATATAATTATTACAATCTTTCAGGTAGTGAGTCTCAGAACCAAATACATGGCACTGGACATCATCGAGACAGAACTGTTACCATCAGACGTGATTAAAATCAAATTCTACCGTCCGCCAAATTTGAAATATTTGTCTGGACAATGGGTTCGTCTGTCGTGCACCGCGTTTAGGTCGAACGAGTTTCATTCGTTCACCCTGACGTCAGCACCGCACGAAAACTTCCTGTCGTGCCACATCAAAGCACAGGGACCGTGGACGTGGAAGCTACGCAACTACTTTGATCCCTGTAATTATAACCCGGAGGACGAGCACCCGAAAATAAGAATAGAGGGACCGTTTGGTGGTGGCAATCAAGACTGGTACAAGTTCGAGGTCGCTGTAATGGTTGGCGGTGGCATTGGCGTCACTCCCTACGCCTCCATGTTAAATGACCTGGTGTTCGGAACCTCTACGAACAGATACTCTGGGGTCGCTTGTAAGAAGGTAATTAGAAAGTGTTAGAAAAAAATAATTTTCTATGCAAATATATTCTGTTTTATTTTTTGACAAAACCGTGTTGGATCTTGATTGTACAGGTTTACTTCCTGTGGATCTGTCCGTCGCACAAGCATTTCGAGTGGTTCATCGACGTGCTCAGAGACGTCGAGAGGAAGGACGTCACGGACGTGTTAGAAATTCACATATTTATTACGCAATTCTTTCACAAGTTCGATTTACGTACTACCATGTTGGTAGGTCACGTACTCATTACGATTACATAACTATTTATACTATAAACGTAGATCAAACTGAACATTCCTTTACTGTTGCAGTATATTTGCGAGAACCACTTCCAGAGGCTATCGAAGAAAAGCATATTCACCGGGCTGAAAGCGATCAATCACTTTGGCCGGCCCGATATGACTTCGTTTTTAAAGTTTGTTCAGAAGAAACATAGCTATGTAAGCTTTAAAATCATCTCTATTCAGTGACCCAATTGTTTCCTAATCAGAATTAAATTTGAAGAATTTCTGCAAACCTGTTCCAAATGCATTTCAGGTTAGCAAAATAGGAGTATTTAGCTGTGGACCACGTCCCCTAACGAAAAGCGTGATGTCATCCTGCGACGAGGTGAACAAGGGTCGTCGTTTACCCTACTTCATTCACCACTTCGAGAACTTCGGCTAGTCTGATCAATTGTTAATCGCAAAAGAGAAAAGAAGAACGATGGACGCTATCGTGAATCTCGTGGAATTTAATCGAGTGTACATATTTATGCGCGTACGCGCATCCCTTATTTATAACGAGTATTATTATATTTCTTATTTATGATCAACGAAAAAGACGAATGAATATTTTTTTTCTTTCCAATTGAATTTCACGACACCAATGAAACGATATTAATATGTGATATGATATTGATGAGCTTGAACTGATTAAATCGAGTGAGAGAATTTTACCAGTCGTTACCTTGACACCCCTTTTTTAAATATTTTATCAGGAAAATTAGAAAAGAGATATTTTATTACAAATCACTGTTTATTCCCTTCCTTTCTCCATAGGAGTTCTAGGGCTAAACTTACAGTTTTATGTAAACTAAAACTTCTCGTATGTCATGGAACTTACGAACGATCAAAGAACAAGTATAAATAACGTTTATAGAGAAATCAACCATTGATAGTTCTACGTGAAGAGGATGGAAATGGATAGGACCAGTTGTTCTTCGTCGAGTCTTCGTTAGACCCATGCTGAAACTCTGAAGACTCATGTGAGGTGTACCCTCGGTTTATCACACCTTGCGTGTCCTCCTTGGTATCATGTCTGCTCTGCAACTTCGAAGACAATTGACTGAAAACAACCATAAAATACCTCCACACAATAGAACCAAAAATTCTACTCTAAATTCTCGAAAAAAATTAAGAACCTTATTATACGATCACCAAATGAATCTTCGATTTTTGGTAGTCTCCGTCTGATGTTTCTTGTATCGAAGCTCTCCTCAATGATCACATGCCTGTCGTACGGTGTATCATAATCAACCTCAAGTATCGTTGAAAACTGATGTGGAAAAATCATGTCGATTGCTGTTATCACCATTCCAGCGAACATGCATCCAATACCTAGAAGAATCCATACTTCCTGGACACTCAATTCTTCTGTTTATATAATCCTACAATATGCAGAGTGTTTAGAAAAAACATTAACACTTATATGAAGAACTTGTAGATGTGAATATCTTCTTTGCATGTGTTGGCAATGATGGTAAACACTTCCATATAAGTGTCAACATTTTTTTCAAGCATCCTGTATAATTAAAGAAGGGAACATTAACCAGACAATAGAACCAGCCAGTAATTCCAGCCTAAATTGAAAGCAAGAATGGAACCGTCTATGTGTGCTATGAGTGGTTCACAAGGTAAAAGTGCCCAGTAGACTAAATTCGTCAGCAGCATACAAAGGCCGGTGAAAATCATGCCGTATGCGCCGTACCTTGGCACCACTATTAATAATAGGTTCATCATGATCCAAGAGGCGAAAGACGTCCTAGAAAGAGCAATTAGTCAACGTAGGGGAAAAAAAAAGAAACAGAAAACATACGTCAGAAGAGTGAATGAATTAGGAGTGACTAAATGGCAAAGGTATTTCGTGGCATACCAGAGCATGAGCGACGCGTAATAGCCAGCTTGACGATACTTGCTTCCCCACGAAAAACCCTCTTGATGAAGACTAAAGTATTCTGCTAAAGAAACTATAGGAAACGGTGCTCCTTGATTCAATGCCTGTTTAAAGGCACTCGTCATCTCTCCTGTGCTCCTCCACCAGAATCTTTCATTATACTCTACGTCGTCCATTGGATGCTCGCTGCTTGGCAACACTTTACATCCGGATTAATGAGATTGTGACTTTGATTAGAAGGACAAGCTATTTTTCGACCAAAATCAGACAGTCATTCGAGGCAGATTTTGTACTCTATCGTCTTTATTCCTTTTTTTTAAACACATGTTGGAATAATTGAGAAAAAAATTCAAGCACTCTGTGATCGAAGAAGCAGCCTCGAATAGCATATTCATCTTGGCCAAAAAATAAACGATCACCAGTGAAAAAAGATTCGTTACAGCGACTCACGTCTATACGTGATGTTTATATGCATCAGACCAATGTATCCGCCGATTTCAGCGGCAGTTTTCTGTCCAGAGAATGCACTGTACGTGCTGACGATAGTCGCAGAACTTGTATGCCAAGAGGAGCCATACTGAGCCACTGTGTATGCATAAAGAAAAAGAAGTCACACATACGTGTGAATAAAGAAAAGTGGACCAAACAAACCTTGAATCGAGGCTCCAACGAAAAGGCTCAGGGTCACCGTGAGAAACGTGCTAAGTCTCTGTGAAGGACAAGAAATTGCCCGATAATGAATACATATCGATAATCCAGGAAACGAGCAAAGGAAATACCGACCTCCTTTCGTATCCCAGGAAATATGACCAAGAAAGCGGTGAAAATGGTACCGAATATCACGAACACGATCACAAGAGGAACATCTCCTGTGACAGGCGTTCGATTACTATAACTATACAACGTCGGTCCTCCGTCGATGCGGAACGCGTCGAACCATCCCTTCATCCTGTCGATGCAATCTTTGATGTCTCGACCCTGAGGGAACCGGCCAGTTCCGGTTCTCCTTGTAAACCACTTGACATCAGACTCTCAACCTGACCGTTCACCAATCGATCGTTAGAAAAAAAATTCCACACAGATGATATTTATATTTGAATAGTGTTAATTATACCTTAGGTAGCCACGCTCGACCATCAACGGCCCAAGGACGATTATTGTGAAACGAAGCGAACACCTGCGCCGTCAACATGGAAGGTTCGAAGGCAGCGCGAATACTAAGGCCCCCAGTAGGTTAACGGGTCTTCGAAAGTGATCTCCAGACATGGAGTAGAAGGGGCAAACAGCGGTCTCGAGAGGGGAGCATGAAAGAGAAAGACGGCACAGGTGGGGTTGGTTCTCCTTCGAGAGGAGAGAACGACGTTGAAACGACGGCGGAGGTGAGAAGAGAGGAAGGGACGCAAAAAGGTGTTCACGATCAGCTGAGCCAGGAAAACGGCCAGCTCCGACACGGGATGCCTCTGTCTGGTCGTTTTATTTCGGCGGATCGGCGATCGATGATCCCGGATGACGACACGAGACGTGACACGTGAGCGTGGATCGCGCGGCATGCCTAATGGCACGCGAGAGACTTCGACGCCTGCACAGACGGTGACGTTGCTCGGTTCCCGACGGATTTTTTCCTGCTTGATCACGCGTACCTGAAATAAAATTCGTCTTCGAATTCGGTTCGAAGAATTTTCTCGTTGTAATTTCAGGTATGTTGAATACCTTTGAGGACGGAGAAGTAAATTAGGAACGCTCTTTGATGAGGTAAAGATGGACAATAGGGAGAATACCTGGTGATTAAGGACTTTACTGCAAGGGTCTTGAATGATCTTTGCAGTGAAAGGTTTTGGATCATTGCTCCTTTTCCAGTTTTGTCCATTTCTACTCCAAATTAGAACAGTTGTTCAAAAGTTCCTCCTTCTGCAAATATATAGATTCTTTTATTTTTTATAACTCTTTAATAAATCATTTTCGATCATGGGTTCATCTGATCTCTTCATCTATTTCACCTTCTGAAATACACTGTATCAACTTGGTACTCATTTATTGAACCACTCTGTATATACGAGTTCATCATCCTCAAAGGGTTAATTGCATCGAAGTTCGAAAAATTGTAGGGGGAATTTGATCGCGAAGTTACATTAGAAGGGAACAGGGTAGATCTTCGATGATATTCAAAGAAGATCTCATAAATAAACGGTGAACTATAAAAATTGTAAAGTGGAGTGGAAGAGAGACTGGAGCTTTAATTAGCTTCGATGAGTTTCTTCTGGTAATTTAAGGTATGTTAATTTATTCGAAATGTAAAGAACCGGGCGGTAAAAAGTGTTCAGTGGATTGAGATATTCGAACAAGAAACATAGAACGTGTAATTGAGTTTCAGAAGTAGTCGAGAAGCTGGTAGATTGAGAATGATCGATCCAGGCTCTTCTGTGCTTCAATTAAATGAGATTTACATGCTTCAATTAGATCAGGGTATGATAATTACTTCACGATTATAAAAAAAAGAAAAAAAAACGGAAAGGATGAATAGTGTTGCGCATATGTAATGTATAATTGGATTTCAAAAGCAGTTAGAGTTAAAAAGCATTGATTAGAAGTCAAACTCGATCCAGTTATTAAAGGGAAACGTTCTAAAACTGTATTCTCATTAACATACAGAAACCTTCATCTACCAAACCTCGACCAATTTACTTTCCCTATTTCAGGCTCATCTATAAACTTCAAACTTTTCAAATTTATTCAGACATCGTTCTTCATTTTTCTTAAAAACTCCAGGATATCAATATTTAGTGACCTAACAAAAAAAAAAGTTAATTAATTCATTACACCGGTTACATTTCAATCTCCCCATACTCCCCGCAATTGTACAGCATAATCAAGCTACAGAGAGGCATCGAAACCTACAAACTCCCCTACCAAACTCTCACCTGACTCACATCCTCCGTTCCACAATAAAACCAACGGACGAATGCTGGTCAACGCAGTTACTGGAACGTAAAATCCCGGATACGAGTCGCCGCTTTTCCATTCACGCGTCCGCGATGGCCAGGTGTCCGCTCAAAGCCGCCACAAGGTGAGGATCGCGCGAGTATTGCACACGGGGAGCATCCGGTACCGGAAGCAGCACCACCGCGCCATCGTGAGCGTACGCGATACCGAGGTATGCGTCCAGGCTGGTCCATAGTGCCGGCAATAACTCGGGTGCTATTTCAGGAGGTCTAATTCGAGCCGGGTGACGGTAAGCTTTTAACGGCAGGCGCTGCTGCTAGCATCATCCACCGTCGCCAGTGCCACCACCACCACCTATGGCACCACCACCACTGTCGTCGACGATAACCACCGGAACGAAGAGTCTGGTGGCAGAGAGGCTGTTGCTCGCGCAGTCTCAGCAACGCGTAGGCCCCCAATACACCGACACTGCTCCTCTGACCCTTCAAGGTAAACCGTATCTCTCTTTCTCCTTTTTCGCATTCGATCACTTGATTAAACTTCATTGTTACGGGAATTGTTCAATTGTAACGGGTGTGGTAACGATTTTTTTTAGAGCTTTCCTGAAATACGTTATATTGAAGTAGAATAATTTGATTCAAAAGAATAATTGTGCAATGTAATTTATTAATTATTGAACGATTGTTTTGAAAGTAATATTTTGTACGTGACATAACCTCGACAGTGAATACATTCTTGCAATAGGGTATGGAACATTCTTGATTATTCCTTGTAATTGAACCAGTATCAATTGTTCGAGTAATTTATTAGTTATGATATTTTCTAAGTGACATAACCTCGACAGCGAATACATTGTTGCAATCGGGTTGGAAAATTCTCGATTACTCGTAGCAATTGAGCTAATATCGATTGATCGAATTTCATCAGTTATGTTTTAACTCTACAATGGTGCGTGGTTTGTTGACAGAATGATTGATATTGTGGTTATGTATATTTTCTGTACGGAGAACTGATCGGTCGTCGAACGCGTTTATCGAAAGTAAGACAACGATATGTGGAAATTAGTGAGATTGAAAATAGTTAAAACACGGAAGAGGAACTGGTAAATCGCGCAGCCATCGTGTGCACCGACGATTGACGCGTGTTGGACGTTCGCCCTCTCCTTCTCTCTCTCTCTCTCTCTTTCTCGATTCATCGTTCGCGACACACGTCGCCAAAATCGGCTAGCTTCGTGCAACAAACCGTCCGTTTGGCAAACGTCCACGCGTCGCGGCCGATCGAATTTTTCGGCATGTATCGTCACGGAAGGTCGCGGTATATCCGTGTATTTTCGGTGAAAAGATACGTTCGACGGTTTGCGTGGAAGGTTGAAGGTGCTTTCACGTCGGAGAGTACGTCGTTTCGGTGAAACTCGCCCAGAGGACTATTTATAAAAGCGCGGCCTCGTGGCAGCGCGCGCTTGCCTATCATGGTCGTCCGCGTGCAAAGCAAACTGACCGGAACTTTCGCCCGCTTTCTCACCCTCGATAAACGCGCGCGAATGATGCTGCTTCGAAGAGTTTAGAAGATAGTTGCTGTGTAACGTTCTTCCTGCTAGCCGAGTCGTTGACACCGCTTCTTCTTCGTGTTCTTCTTCTTCTTCTAACGTTATGCACGCGTAGGAATGCTGAGACGTTCAGTAGGCAACAAGTAGGAGGCTCTGTGTGTGGGTTTCTCGTTATTTGTGAAATTATATTCCGTTTCTTATAAACTGTGACGTATATCTATTATTTTAACACGATATTTCATCTTTCACACATTCTTTCCGCTATTTATCCGGCGATCTCTTTAACCGGTACTTCAGTCTGATGAATTTTTCTGACATTTTCAAAATTTGAAATTCTTATTTTCTATTTGCGTTGTTTCGGAACCATAAACCACTGAAATCACATAGATAGATCGGAGGATAAGAGGAATTTGAAGGTGATAAGATGAGATAAATTAAATCTCTCTGATACAATTTACAAAAATAACCATAAAAATTACGACGTTGGGTTTGTCAGTGCGCACCAATCAAATCGCGTTATGCGCATTTCACATTATCGCAACGTAAATCGACGCAACGCGAAATCATTTTTCTCTTTGATTTTCGACTTAAACCACTTTCATAATCACATATGATTAATGCCTTGTGAAAAATTGAAATAGAAAACACGAAACTTTCAAATGTCTGTTAAGTATATCCTCGCATGGCCCACATTTGTTGAAAGTACACATTACACTTAACTACCGATATTTTCACAGAATCTATAGATAGACGTTTGTCATAGTAGCATAGGAGGCACGGAAACTCGTTCTAGTTAGGTATGTTCTTTAAATACCCTTTTATGAACACGTTCAACGAACCTTTGTCAATCTGCTTTCTTCGTTATTCTAAGCATACGGCATTTTTACGGATGCGATCAGAACAATGTTGCAATAATGCAGGAATACACGCGATCTCGGGTGAGCAACATGATTGCGCAACGCTCGCGGAAACATTTTATTATGGTACATACACGAACCAACAACCGGGATGTTTGTTTTAGCGCTGCTTCCAAAAAGTTTCGCCAGTCGACGTTGATACGCGAATGAGTGAGCAGCGAAACATTTTTTACTAGGACCATTAAGGTGCTTGTGTATGTACGTATCATTACTACGCATTTTTTTCTTTTAGAATTCTGCTTTTTACTAATTGTGCAAAGTATTTTGTACTATTTTCTAACCTTGAATTTCACGCTTTTTTATTATTTTTACAGGTTCATTTGTCTCAGTTAATTAGATATTCCACTAATATCTTGAAATTAATATTGGAAAATTATATTTAATACACTTACGTTGGACTAATCTACGTATGAATCGAGAAAGTTTGAGTTCTACTCAAAAGAATAATTCATCACTGTAAATTACAATCACTCGTCCATTTTTTTTTAAACCTTCATATATTCCATTCAGGTATTCGTATCTACAGAATCTTTTTGTTCTAAAAATATTTTCTAACATCTAATCACTGTACTTCATGAGTTGTATTATACTTAGATGAATATAACACATGTTTTAATTATCTCCATGCATCAAAAGCGTTTACAAAGTCAATTTTTATTAATAATATTCTTATCAGAACGTCTTGAATGTTCTTTCAACATCCATCTATTTTTTTAAAACTTTGATCAGTGATTCTTTCTATTAACTTCAACATTTTTTATTAACAAAATTTCTTCGTAATAACCTTTTCACTTTACTTTATACATTTAATAAATTCAGTATCACAAATATAAATAATTTTCCAACCTCGAATCACCGTGTTCAAAAATTCTCGCCGACCTAGGTGTTGCGTTGCAATTTTCCTACTGAAGTAAATAAAATTTCCCGTGGAAATTTCGATTTTCCGATTCTCATGCAAACAAGCACGACTCATCGATGAGCAATTCCATGCGTGAGCAGACCCGCCGGTGTTGTCCCAGAAAACAATTGAACGTGTCGTATAATTCACTATTCTAAGTATCGGTGTATTGTATCGGGAGCGTGGCAGGCGTAGCTTCGCATAGAATCCGAGGGACTTCCTAATTTCCGTATGCGCGAAAACGGGTCAAAGTTATTTTCGCGCGAGGCCTGCCGTGTCCGAAACAGCCGCCAACGTTCTCCTCTAACCATCGAGAAATGCACCAGGCTAGACCTAGAGTCGGTCATTTCACGTTCTGTACTCGATGGCGATCACACGGCGGATTGTTCGCGGAAATCTTGAGAACGCGTTGGTTAATCGCGGAGATAAACGAATCGTCACGTGGAAGTGGCTCAATGTCGCGATTAAATGCGAACTGGCGAACTTCAAGTGACGAATTCTAAAACGAGAGAGAACGAGAGAAAGAACAACGAAGGGAAAATTAATCGGGGAAATAATGAACGAAGATTTCGAGTAAAAATGGAGCAGCAACGTTGAACAAGTTGTTAGAAAAAGAAACACCGAAGTGACGAAGGAAAATTTGACGATCACGTTAATCTTGAAAAGAAAGGATCAAAGGATAAAGAGTGACGAATTATTCTTATCGAGCGAGAGAAACGAATTTTTTTACCTTCAGCAGGTAAAAAGTGTTGACGATTTAATTTTCTCGATTAAACAGATACCGTTAATCGGGAAATTGAGGAACGAATTTTCGACCTTCGAGTGGTGAACACTGACGAATTCTTTTTTTTAAATCAAACAAACGAGAATGTACGATTGAAAATAGCTTGTTACCTCTATCGTGTAATAGAATGTGAAAGGTAAAAAGCTGTAGATTCTTTTTTAAACTTGGAGGAAGATCGAAGAGGAACGGTAAGAGGGAGGATATTCCCGATGTTTGTGTAAAATTCGTTTATTTCTCTTCTATTTTACATTCGCGCAAACGTGCGGTATATTGTCGATAATCGACGTTAAAGAAAAACGATGTTTTCTTTGGGTTCCAGGCGGCCAGTCGAAGATCCAGAGGATCAAAATGTCGGAGGCGGAAGGTGAGGTCTTCTTTACGAGCTGGCGTCACGATATTCTTTGAATATCGCTACACTATCCTGCCTAGGATTATTCGAGTTATCGTAGATAGATAATGTGAACCGGGCAATGCGATTGGTGGACGGGGGAGCTCAGGGAAAAATGTACGACGAGAAGGACGTGCAAAAACAAAATCATTATCTCTCCATTATTATTTTTTTCTATCTGAAAACGTAACATCATTAACGATATCTATATTTTTTTTCACTCTCTCTCTCTCTTCTTTCATTCTCAGATTCTTCATTGTTTTCTGTCATCATGAAAAATTAAAGGACACTCTGTTTGCACGTGGCTAACTAAAAAGCACAATTAAAAATGAGGAGGTTGAATAATCAAAGTTTGCGTACATCTTTTCTGCGGTTGTAACCAATTTGCTGTGTTCTCTTGCTACGACTCATCCGTGTGGCGTATAGAAACAAATACATCATAAAAAAAGAAACGATTCTTTTGACTAAAACTGATTTAATTAAACGACCGGTATAATTGGTATACCCTACATTCGAAAAAAAAAAAAAAGAAAAAAGCGTAAGAACGGTCGAGAACGCGACGCATCTATCATTAGAACGCTTTCGTTTTGTAAAACATCATCTGGGTAACATCTTTCTTTGGCGTTAGAATTAATAAGAAAGAAATGAAACGCTTTAATATTCATTTTATTGTAACGTTTATATTTATATACGTAATGTATAAATATATTCTTCACACAGGCTGATCCGTAACTCCAAAAAATCTGAAACATAAATTTTGAAACACACAAAAATTAAATTATTCAATTTTCAAATGTTAAAGCAACTTATGGATCATCCTGTAGTTCTCAATAATTTTCTATAATACATCACTTATATTTCATTCGTCCTACTGCTATTTCCCCTTAATACAGCCACTATTCTTGCAGATATTCGAGCCGCCGTTGTGGAGAACCATGATTTCCAGAATATCATCGAATCAGATAGCAGACGATCCAGTTCTGTGGATTATTTAGACACGTACGAGGACATCCCGAAGGAGACCGTGAAAGAATTCCCAGAAGAGACGAAGGAGGAGCTGTACCAAGAGGAAAAGGAGAAAGAGGCGTATGTGGAGAACGAGAGGAAGTCGATCGTGTTAGAGAGGAAAGAGGCCAAGCAAGCAGGTTCGTGATGCACGGTAATTCGAGGATAGATGGATCACCTGTCTCGCGTCGAACGAATCTAGCTCAACATTCCGCGGTGTTAATTGCGTGTAAACTGAAACGCGAGGCGATTTTGAGGATCGTTAGATGGTACTCGATTTAGGTAGCCTGTACCAACAACCCAATTTCGACTTAAACCAAGTTAATGCTGGTTGGTACGGTTCAGGGGCTGGTACTGTCTGAACGTGTATCTAAATCAGCCTGACTTTGTTTTAAACGCTATTTCAACACACGTTTCGAGGATGTATTTAGCGAAATTAGGACTTGTGGTATTGTATACTACGCTAGTTGACTTTTGACGAATTTGTGAACTTGAATGAAGTAATTTCAAGACGTTACTGAATATTAAGAATTGATTTAATCAAGTGAAGATTTCTCATATTTTACGCTACAGTTAGGAACTGACTGAACGAATTCTGGAGGATAGAGATGTACAATTGTGTTCAGGGAAACGAGGATTTCTGGTGGTATCTTACGTTAGTTACTGTAGAAAATAGAATGTGTAAATCGACTTAACGAACACGTGACACGGATTGATAGTCATTATGAATGTATATTTAGCGGGATGATTCAGTTCTAAGTTATCAATCAAGAAGGTACACAACTGATGTCATCGATAGAATCTATAAAAAATCATTATCGATGTAACGATGAAGAGGTTGATCCATCTGGCTCCTCACCAAAAAAAAAAAAACAAAAAAAACACCAAGCAAACCACGCACGATACACAATTAAGAAACTATCTCTCGTTGAAAAGCCTTGGTAAAAAGAAAAAGAGAAAATAAAAAGACGGAAAAGTGGACCATCGACGTTCGAATTAGCCCGACGAGGCCGGCGCCGATCTCTCGTCTCGCGGCGTCGTTCACGATTCGTCAGGCTCTCTCTCTTTCTGGTGGGCAGCCCCGCGAGGCGTTGAACGAGCGACCGAAAATAAATCCCCGCGGAGAATCCCCGTGGCTTTTAAATAAAGCGAGCGCGAGACTGCCGGTCAAGCGAGCCTCCTGCTCGCGAGTACGCGCGTTTCACGCGTTCCACGCTTCTTCTCGAACCAGGCTCCTCCTCTTGTTCCGCTCTCTGTGAAAAATAGAAAAACTAAGAACGAAACTTCCACTGAAGAAGAGAAAAAAACTAGACCCTTCTCCTTTAAAAAATAGAAAAAAAATTGAACTTCCACCCCACTTTCACAAAACAAAAAATCTAACAAAAAGATAGATCCATCTTCTCGTCTCTCTTTTTCCCTTTTTCTCATCTCCCCTGAAAAATAGGAAAACAAAAAACGAAACTTCCACTGAAGAAGAGAAAAACAATAGACCCTTCTCCTTTAAAACATAGAAAAAAAGTAAATCTTCCACACTGTACTCTCCCACTAGAATAGGAAAATAGAATAAGAAGATATAGATCCTTCTTCTCATCTTTTCTCTCGTCTTCCCTTCTTCTCATCTTTTCTCTCGTCTTCCTTTCTTCTCTTCCAAACAATCGAAAATCAAAAATTCCACTCTCTGCTTGCAAATCGTGGAGAAAAACGGTTGAATAAAAAAATAGAGTAGCTCGTGAGCCGTCTCAGGTCGTCAGGGTTCAAGCCCCGTCTCGTGTCGTTTCTTTTTCAGCGGGTTCGAGAACGGTGCCCGCCGACGACGACGACGGCGGCGGCGTCGCGAGACGAGAGGAGAGCGCCACGAGAATAGGGGACACGACGACCGCGACGACAGCCACGAGCGCGACGTCAACGAGCACCGCGACAGGTACCAGCATCGATGGACGGAACGAGAACCCGCCAGTCGGTGAGTGGAATTCATTGCCGCTACTGGTAGAACGTCTACGCGCGGCGCTCGAGCTCTCCATAGGGGGTCGTCGCGACGACGAGCCGCCAGCGTTGCCCGAGGACTCTGGCGTCGACTCCGAGGAGGACTTCCGGATACGCAGTTCCATGGAAGAGGCTCTTGGCAACAGCAAGGAGCCTGATCTGAAGAAAGACCTGAAATTCCTGGAGGATCTTCTACTGTCGGATATTCAGACAGCATTGTCGCGTCTTCGTGAAACGTTGGAGAGGATCGACGTGGCTGCTCTAGCTAAACACGGTGCTGCATCTGATCCTACAAGTAAATTGCAGTTATTGAAACTAGTGTCGAGTTTATTGTCAAGGCTACAGGTGCCGGAGGAAACAGTTGTGAAGATACCAGTGCTACCATCGACTTCTTTGAGCAGAAGACGAAGAGGAACCAGGCATACAATTGGTGTTTCCACGGAGGAATTGGCTAAAGCTAGGAAATGGCTGGAGGAGACCAATAGTCTACCATTGGAGGAACCTGTTGCGCCTATTGTGAAGGAGCAGAGTGTAACTGGACATAGTGTGACTGTGGAGAAGAAACCGGAGGAAGTTCGTGATAAGTGCACGAAGGACGCGATTAATCAACGTCAACTGTTGGAGGACAAGAATAAGGAGATCAGGGAGAGCTGCGTGTTTCGCGGGATCCAACAAGTGGATGGTATTGATGGTAACTCGAGCGGCGGTGAGTCGAGTATGTACCAGGCTCAGTACAGAGCTAACAGTTACCAGGATAAAGAGAATAATATAGAAGATAGTGAAGAGAGGAGTCGTGTGAGTAAATTGGCTGCTGCTTTGAGGCAACGTGCAGAATTAGCAGCTTCTAATGCAGCAAAATACGGGACTAGTAATAAGTTCAGTGCTAAGAAATCAAAAATCAAACGTGCCAATACCATTGATATACCTAGTTACTTAAAATTACAAGCAGAGAGTCTTGGTCACGAGACAACAGGTTGTGTGTCTCTGAGGAAACCAATTAACGTTGGAGACAAATCCTTTAATTCAATTAACGTTACAGTGCCTAGTTTTCAGCCTAAGACAGAGAACGACAGAAAGTTCCTAGCTCTGATTAACAGAAACAACGAGGCACCTGTGGTCGCACCTGTAGCTCCCTTCAAAGTCTTCGGAAACACCAGAACCATGGATATGTCAGCGTTGACCAACGAAAATTGGAACAGCAGGTTCTCCAATATCAAAACCACCTTCGACAAGCCGTCAGTGGCTGAGGAAAGGGAGAGCAGATCTTCTTTAAAGGCTCGTGCCAATAAAATGTTTCCAGGTGTATCTCAAACTCAAGTCTATTCCAATTCTAGTCAGAATTATGCACCTCAGTTAGCTAAAATGGACACTTCTACAGGCTTCCGACATGCACCTTCGTCTCCTTTTCGTAAGATAGAAAAATCCTCACCGGGATCACCTTCGAAACTACCTCCGTCGTATCACTGGCCTAGGAACGCTCCAGTCCCGACTAACACGCTGAAAGAGAAGGCGAGAAAGATGTTCGACAGGGAGAACGCGCCGCCGTCCTCGAAATCCTCCAGAGCTGATCTGGAGAAGCCTAGTTTTCCACGGCCACCGTGGATCGAGCACGAGCGAAACGAGAACAGAGCCAATGGCACGGTCACGGAGAATGGAAAACTGGATTATCGGTCGTTCTGCAAGCAATTCGCGCCATTTGTTGGCAAATCCCCCGTGATGGAGTCGAAGAAATTGGAGGAACAACGTCAACGAGAATTCGCTCAGAAGGAAATGTTTCCTGGAGTGGTGGACGGCAAGATATCCTTCAAAATGATCCCAGATAAACGTATTCTAACCCATCAGTTTCCTCCCGTAGAACGTAGAGAGCCGAAGGAAAAGTTTGAACCTGTTAAAAGTGGAAAAGAACGTGTATACGGTGAGAATAGTTTCCCCGATGCTACTTTGAGAGGAAGTTCTTCTGTGGCTGTTCAAACTGGGATGAACGAGGAGCAGGATGAGGGGAGATCCTTCAGAGTGGGGCCTAAGATCTCCAAGGGTCAGAATTTGGTTTATAATAATGCTTCTGTGCAAACTTCTGATTTAGATAGACCATCTATAAGTGACACAGAGACTGGAAAACAGTGGAGACATTCTTCTGACTCTGAGACTCATCAAAGAATCGTTCTGGATCATAATCAGAATTACCATACTGTGTCTAGTGATTCTGAGTTTAACAGTCCTGTAGTGGTCCCTGAAACACGTCCAGCCTCTGGTGAACAAGATTTTATTTTCCAGAAACAGGCTGGAAATCCTATAAAGAATTATCAGGCTGAGGATAATCAAGATTACTCTTCTTCCTTCGTTTCACCTGCTTTGTCTAATTACAACCAGTCAGACGAAGTATCGGATACAGTGGAACAAAAGACGACAGATTGGCCTGTAGAAAGTTCCACTCTACCAGATGACGAGAATATTCAAAATCAAGACATCAGTCCTGAAGTTGGAGTGGTTACAAGATACACCTGTGCCATTGCAACAGTTGCATCGTCAGTGGACAGTCCTGAACCACGTTCTGAAGAGGTTCCAGTGGATTCTAGAGCTTCCTCCTCTCCTTCACCTTCACAGTGGTCATGGTCCAGATCTAGACCACCGACTAACGAGACTGTGACCTCAGAGGATGAGATTCGTCGACACAATCTGTTGCAACAGAGCTTAGTGCGTCGTCTACAGAATGAAATCACCACTCTGAACGATCAGCCTAATTATCAACCATCTAACTTTGGACAACACCTGACTGTCAGTCAGAGCCAACCTAAAAGCCTAAGTCCAACTTCTAGTTATTCTCCTCAGCAACATAGTCAACCTGTGAATACTACCCAGACTCATCAACAATCCATTTTAAGCCATCAGAAACAGAGTTACAAGCAACCTGTAAACGTAGTTCAACCTCGCCAGAACTTCAATCAACCCACGAGCAACGTTCATCAGCAACAGAGTTACAATCAACCTGCGAGCCTAAGTCCAACTTCTAGTTATTCTCCTCAGCAACATAGTCAACCTGTGAATACTACCCAGATTCATCAACAATCCATTTTAAGCCATCAGAAACAGAGTTACAAGCAACCTGTAAACGTAGTTCAACCACGCCAGAACTTCAATCAACCCATGAGCAACGTTCATCAGCAACAGAGTTACAATCAACCTGCAAACTTCGACCAACCAACGAGTTCTCAAGCATCAAGTAGATTCGCCAAGTTCCTAGCTCCTGTTCCTCAAAAGAAGCCAGAGCAAACCAGAGCAAGCTCTCCAAGTCCGGTAGCGGTAAACAGAGTGATTGCCCTGAGAGAAGCCTACGAACAGTCGCCCAACTCTCCACCGAAAGCAATTCAAAAGGAACGTTCTCCAATTCCAAACGGTGTCACTCCAATCGACTCCAGTGATGAGTATCTAGTCTCTTGTGCTAACAAACCCTCTAGATCCATAGTACTTTCAAAATCAGAGTCCTGGCATCAATTGGCTATCTCTAACAGTTATCCTAGAGCTCCTAAGGTAAATGTTCCAGTGTCAACATCAGCTCAAGGTTCTCATCCGAAGCCTCCAAAACCGAGATCCCCATCTTCACAAAAATTGAGATCCAAGCAGTTCGAGGCCTCCTCCATGGCAGACAGTGTGAAAAAGATGGAGGATAAAATCAGACAGTACTTCGACCATCCTGCAGAACCTATGGAGCATAAGGATACTTCAAAACACAGAAGATCTCCCAGATTTGCAGCTAAAGGAATGGTTGGACTGTCTCGTAGCCGCACTATGCCTGGCATAACCGATGAGAAACTACGTCTTCTGGTACCAGCTCCTCAACAAACGCCTCTGTTGAACGTGAACACCGCCGACGTCGACAAAGTGTTCGACGACCTGTTCGAGGAAACCACGAGGACCGATACGCAATAAATATGTTGATCGATCCGATCGTCGTCTTCCTTGTCTATTTTAACGCGGCGTGTAACCAGCCCGCGATATTGGATTTTCTTCTTGGTCCAGCCGGAGGAACTGTGAACCCCGACGACGATCCACGATTTCTGGTCGTCGAAATTGTTTTGTTGGACGAGAGAAGCCTCTAGTACCGTGTTCTAAATCGAAACCGTATATCGTTAATACGAGTAATTTGTATAGTTGACGGAATGTCTCTCTCTTTTCTTTTGAAGGAAAAAAAATTCAGAAGTAGAAAAGTGAAAGGCAGTGAAGTCTGAGTGAGGTGAATAATAATAATAGTAATAAATAAAAACAAAAAAAATAGTAAAGCTTGAAAAATTGACAAATAAAAATAATAATAATGAGAGAAGCTCGAGAGGCAGTGAATCTGCCAAAGTGGATCTACAAGTGGATAGAGAAGATCGAGGCAAAAGTTGAAAGTCGTTCGTCTAGAGGGGACAAGACTGAATGCTAAAACTGATGATTGTTGAAAAAAAGGGGGCGAGTTCTCTCTGTTGTTCGTTTCACACGAAGAAACGCCCTGAAAAGCTTGTGCTTTTCACACTCTTGTTTCTTTTTCTTTTCTTCTTCTTCTTCTTCTTTCTTTTCTTGTTTCTTCTTTCTTTCTTTTTTTTGTTCTTCTTCTCTTAATAAGCCTCGAGTCGCGGTCTCTGCCGCGCGAACACGTTTTGCGGACGGACGTTCAGAGTCGCTAGAAGGTCGTGCCAAAGCCCGAATAAAGCAGTGAGTCACAGCCCTTCTTTGTTGATCCTTTTTTGCCGCGCAGTAGCGTGTAGCTTGCACCAGAGCCGGACTGTGCACGAAAGTTTGAAGAGTAGCATATATTAGTACATACTACATCCTAGGCGCAGTGGAGACGCAGAGGGGGACGTTGTCTGAGTGTTCAGCCACGACGGTTTTACTTCCTTTGAGAGATTCGAGACACGCTTTCTTTTACTTTCTTTGTTTGTTTAATATTAGGTGCTGGCAGCAGCGGCCGCGGCGCTGTTATTGTGTTGCTGTTTCACTTGCGGTAATTGGAATGATTTCAGTCACCGGATGATTCATACTGTAATTTATGAAATGTCATTTTTATTTGGCTCAGATAACGAAACACCAGTTGTTCAATTCT